TTTTTTAGAGAACATATTTTTCAAAACTAATTTTATTTATAAAAAAAATCGATTTTTTTGAGGTATTTCCAATTAGGTTCACATCTCGTAAATCTTAAGATTTTTCCGAAAATATAATCAATTTTATAACTATTTCGATGGAAAAACAGCATCAATTGTTTTTTTTTTAGAGAGAGTGATGCTACATGCTAATGCACATTAATACTTATACACATTTGTATTTGTTTTGAATTTGTAGAATATTTCTTAAAGTTTTTTCCTGTGAAATTGGCATTAAAAAATTGATGTTCGTATTTAGTTTTCTCTTATTCAGAGCTTTCATCTCATCTCTTGTTACATTTAATTTTGCATGTACATAGTTATGTTTGTACAAACTTACATTTGTAGGTATGTACATGTACATATGCATACATATATTAGCAGTGAGGATCTTGATGTTGTTGGGAAAAAATGAACAAGCAAAACTAACTTTTAGTCCAAATTGGTGTTGTCTGTATTTGTATGTATGTATATACTCGTATTTCTCTACAAACATGCATTCATACAAAATAAAAGGTAAGCTGCTGTTGTTGAAGAATTCTTGCTTCCCCACTGACTCAGCAAGTGGGAGTTGACAGTTCTTTGATTGAATTTGAAACTTGATCCAACCCATTTTCACATCAAAGACCCACCGTCGTTCACATCAAAGACACACTGAAGATGTTTCGAGATACAATGTGATACTCTTACAATCACTGTGCAACACTATTTGTGTGTCACAGAGTTGCCCGAAAATTGAATAGAGAAAATGCTGTAAAGCTAGAATTTTTAATCTGAGCCTTAAAAAAGAAAATCTAAGAAGCTGATGTACGTTGTGAATAAACGCCGGACCCAGGAGTGATTTCCTCATTCCTAGAGAACGACCGAAAATCGATTTTCAGAGCCGAACTGAAGCCGAACCAAACATTTTCAAGGTCTAAAATAATAAACTCGAAATTAAATAATTTTATGTTATCATAAAAAATTATAGCCTATCGGCATTTTCACTTTGCAACCGATTCCGTCTATCGGTATAAAGCTGACCTTCAGCGCTACAAATATTTTAAAGGAATTTTTTTTCAACAGAAAATGTGGACAAAAATATTTCAATTTCTTGGCAGCAGATGTTCTTTAATAAAAGTGTCCAATTCGTTATTGAATGAATGTTTAATATGAATGATATTTTTGCGAGAATAAACAACTTAATATTTGATTTGATTCTGCAATTTTCAAAATGAAAATGAAACGCGGGATTACATATCCAAATAGAAACATTAAAACTAAAACTTTGTACAACTTTTAAATAAAAAAAAATTTATAAATGTTCGGGCAAAGTTCGGTTTTTTTTTGCCGAAGCCGAACCGAAACCGAACCAAAGAAATTTGTTTGACCAGAAAAGCTAACCCAAAAATGCCAAAAGGTCAGAGATTGTAATATCCAATATGTACTTGATTAAAATTGATTTTTAATAAAGACCTTTTTTTCTAAAAATTTACCCAAAAATCCCCGGAGACATTTTAAATGACCCCGTAAATACATACA